GATCACACAGAACACAGGACACAACAACCAACATCGAACATGATCTAAGTGAGTGAGTATGGTTTTACGCCGCTTTTAGCAATATTCCAGCAAGATCAGAGCGGGGGACACCAGAAATGGGCTTCACACATTGTACCCATGTCGAGAATTGAACCAGGGTCTTCGGCATGAGGAGCGTACGCTTTAACCCCTAGGCTACCCAACCATCCCAACATGATCTATGATCCATCTAGCCTCTGTTGACTTGAAGGCATCTGCCTGCTCTAAATGAAGATGAATGAATTATCAGCATTTCTAACATTGAGATTAGGTATGTCATGTGGTGTCCTACTGCAACTCGTGCAAACAGTGGAGATGTTGAAAATGTGTGCGAGTGTGGTCAAATGCTGCTACTTGTGATACTCCAGCCATATCACTTTGAGTGAGTGAGTGAGTGAGTTGTGTTTAACGCTGCTTTTAACAGTATTCCAGTTATATCGCGGCGTGTCAGCTAAATGTGGGAGGAAAGCCCGAAGTGATGCAGGTCTCAGACGTTTATCACTTCGGTGAAACCCACGAGCACGGGTATGGTGCTGACAAACCTAGAAACATAATGGGGGCAAACCGGGATTCGAACCCACAATCATAAGTTTCTGGCGTGTCCACGGGACGCAACTCTGCACAACGAATCGTGGCGCCTTAGACAACTTGGCCACCCGTGCCCCCCATATCATTTTGAGGAATACCAAGAATGAATGGGCTTTACACAGTGCAGAATAAAACCCAGGTTTTTGGTGTGACATGCCATTGCTTTAACCATCAGGCTATCTGGACAAATGTGGGCCAAAAAGGAACCAGATGAGAAGTACGTGTCAGAAGGAATACTTGTGAAGTGAAAACAGTACAAGGTTTTTAACTGATGTTTTGGTGCCTGTTTATATTTCCTCCCTCTCACACAACCTGCAGGATATAATCTGGATTATATCCTGAAGTGAACTACACAATGAAGTGTATTTCAGTCATGATGTGGGAGGAAACCCTTTAGTGATGCAGGTCTTGGACGTTTACTGCTTTGGGTATGGTGCTGACAAACCTAGGAACATAATCGTGGTGATTTTGAGATTCAATCCCACATTCATAGGTTTCTGGCATGCATAAGGGACACAACTCTGCACAGCAAATTGAGGCACCTTAGATGGCTGGGACACCCATGCGCCTGTGCCACCACCAAGGGTGACTACATGAAGGCCAAGAACTGAGCGAGTGATTGTGTGAGTGAGTTCATGTTTAATGCTGCTCTGAACAGTATTGCACTGTCAAATTAGGTCAAAGTAAGTTTGTTGTCACAATGGTTCTGACAGACCATAGGATCATATTTGGTCTAAATCTGCAATTCAAGGATGGTGTCACTTTAAGCAATATTCCAGCAATATCATGGCAGGGGACACTAGAAATTGGCTTCACACATTGTACCAATGTAGGGAATCGAACTTGAATTCAACATGACAAGCTAACACTTTAACCACTCGGCTACCCCAACACCCCAGTTTGAAACACATTTTTTATATCCCTCCTCTCATCCTCATCATAACATCTTGTTAAAAAAAGTATGCCTCAAAATAATGTTCAAAATGATGGGAATAAAATAATTAATTAAAAATTGCCTTATGCCTTATGGGGGACACCAAAAATAGGCTTCACACATTGTACCCATGTGGGGAATCGAACCCAGGCCTTCAGTGTGATGAGAGAATGCTTCAACCACTAGACTACAACCATGCCCAAGTACTGGTGTGTAATAAATTAGTTATATCATGCTGTTTGTTACAATGTTGAACCAGTAATAAAACACTGCAGTTGAATGCAGTTGATCTGGTACTTATTATTTCATTCTAATAGTACAGCGTCCCAGCTGAAAAAATTTGTGATCCAAGTTTGTTCGTTTGTTGTTTAACGCCGCACTCAGCAATATTCCAGCTATATGATGGCAGTCTGTAAGTAATCAATTCTTGACCAGACAATCCAGTGATTGACATCATGAGCATTGATCCACGCAATTGGCACGATGACATGTATCAAATCAATAAGCATGCCTGACCACCCAATCCAATTAGTCGCCGCTTATGACGAGCATGGGTTGCTGAAGACCAATTCTAACCCGGATCTTCACAGGTATTGTGATCCCAAAACATTTTTCAAATTAGTGTTGGTAATCATACCTGACATTTTACACTGTTAGTTGTGGATGGACAATACTGTTGAAAACATAGTATATTACTTCTGGAGAGGGACACTATGCCAAGAGCTCATCAAATGATAAAAATAGGGGCCCAGTTCCACAAAGTGACTAATACTAAAATCGTTGTAACTCCCATACTTTAACATAGACTTCAGTCATCGTTGCACTACCATTGCTTTGTGGTACATTAAGGTATGGGGACAGTGCTTAGATACCTAAAACAATTATTTCTTCATAATTGGGTCAAACATATGGGACTGAAAAATGCCTGGCAAGTTTAAACTTGAGCAACAGATTCAAAACAATAACAAATACTATCAGTTCACATGTACACAGAGGACACGAACCTACATTCATAGGTTCCTGGTGTGCCCAAGGGACGCAACTCTGCAAACAAATCTCGGCGTCTTAGACCCCACCCGTGCCCCCTTATTCAAAAATGAAACCTTTACATGACATTAAGGAATAATTTGCAAAAATGGATTTGCATAAGCACATTGGTATAGATTCAGTATCACTTTCAAGTGGAGACTGACAATATAAGTGTCAGATCACAGAGAGACGATGTATATGATCAGACACTCAACATTCCAACTGTTAGTGTGGGGGGGTCATGTGGGATTACCTCCCCTTGAACAGTATTTTAGTTACATCACAGTGTCTCACCTTAATATGGGGGGGAAGCCAAATGCAAGCACAGGTAGAGACAAACCAAGGATCATAATTACAGCAAATCTGGGATTTGAACTCATGATCTGGAATGCCTAAGGGACACAACTCTGCAAGCATATCAAATGTGCTTTCTAATGTTGATGCTGTGGCTGGTAAACACATAATCTCGTAAGACCTATTTGTGACAAATTGTTTTAAAAAATCTCTTAAAGAATTTTTTCAAAATGGTACAATAAGAAAGCATTTCCTACCCTTCTAACTTATGAAATTATGAGTAAGACCAAGGTCTGTTTGTCTTCAGTAGTATGCCTGCATTATGCATTTGATTTGACCAGAACTCACATGTGTGATGTTTACATAAATCAGTCCTGAGGCAATAATTTGTTTTATCAGTTGGTTCATGGATCCGATGAAACTATTTTCTTCAAAATTGAAAAATATAAATCCACATTTCCACTTACATGTGCCACCATGTCATTCTTGCAACAACAAAAATGAGATTACTAAGCGTTTTTAAAGAAATCTTCTACAAAACGTATGATGTTTTATTTTTACATTAACATTTCGCAAGATCCTTCAGGCAATGAATTGATGCAAATTTCCTTGAAACAATATCTAGAGTTATGTCCCTTGTCCTTGATACACAGATTTGCCGAAATAACCTCCCTTTGTCTTCAGAGAAAAAAATTCTTCTTTAACTACTGTAAGGCAATGTTTCAATATAGATCCTTATACCGTTGTCAAGCAAGCCTTTACAGTAGTTAAAGAAGTTGTTCTCCATAAATTGTGTCTACTTTGTCATCCGTCAACTTCTAAGTAATGCCTATCAAAAATTAAGAAAAAAATTCATTTATTTTTTACTTATTTTCCCCCCATCCTACAGGGAACATTTGTTGTCAGCTCCTTTTAATATTTTTATTCCCTCTCCAACTTCTGACTTTGTCCCAAAAAACATGCACACAATCAGTACCAGCCACATCAACATAACAACATTAACAATAATTGATCTTGGCTGTTTCTCAAACTCTGGAAAAACACAAGATATTTCTGTTTCAATCTTGAAACTTTTTCATAGCCTTTCCTTAAAACAATGGGTCCATATATATTATTGTGCGTTTATATCCTATCATGTACAGATTAAATGAGCACAATCAACCATCAGGACACCAGCAACTGATCTTGAAGAAACCAGGATAGATTTACATCTAACAACTTTAAAAAGCAAATAATTTTTGTGAAGCATGAAAACTTGTCAAAATGCTGTAAATGGAGGTCAAAACAAAAAACATGTTTCAGCATTGATGCTTGATGGAAGAGGAATAACTGGTACACTCATGTGTGATGAAATCACTTCACAAAGGGATATCACAGCTGAAAGACGCCCGTCAGGGTGTTACTGGTCAGAGACACAGCCCACTATAGAACTATATCACACATCTTAGCGCCAACATTTCCATAGTTTCCAGGGGTAGATCCCATTAACACTTTTCACATAGTTCCTAACTCAGGTCAAACTAGGGTCCCGGAACATGATACAAAAATACTCTAATGACTCTGGAGCCACCAAAAAAATAGTTAGGGTCAGTTGTTAGGCAAATATTTATATTCTTGTCTATGATTTTATGAAAGTACTTGCATTCAAGTAAATGCATTGCATCAAAATTCAACATGTTCATGGTGGGCATCAACTAGCCCTGATGGGCATCAACTAGCCCTGATGGGCATCAACTGGCCCTGGTGGGCATCAACTGGCCCTGGTGGGCATCAACTGGCCCTGGTGGGCATCAACTGGCCCTGATGGGCATCAACTGGCCCTGGTGGGCATCAACTGGCCCTGATGGGCATCAACTAGCCCTGATGGGCATCAACTGGCCCTGATGGGCATCAACTGGCCCTGATGGGCATCAACTAGCCCTGATGGGCATCAACTGGCCCTGGTGGGCATCAACTAGCCCTGATGGGCATCAACTGGCCCTGATGGGCATCAACTAGCCCTGATGGGCATCAACTAGCCCTAGGAGTGAGTGAGTGAATATGGTTTTACGCCGCTTTTAGCAATATTCCAGCAATATCACGGCGGGGGACACCAGAAATGGGCTTCACATATTGTACCCATGTCGGGAATCGAACCCGGGTCTTCGGCGTGACGAGCGAACGCTTTGACCACTAGGCTACCCGACCGCCCCACTAGCCCTAGGAACTGGCCCTGATAGGCACAAACTTACCCTGGTGGGCACCAATTTGCCCTGGTGGGCACCAATTTGCCCTGGTGGGCAGGAACTGGCCCTGATGGGCACGAACTTGTCCTGATGGGGAGGAACTGGCCCTGATGGGCATCAACTAGCCCTGATGGGCACAAACTGGACCTGATGGGCACGAACTGGACCTGGTGGGCACGAACTTGCCCTGATGGGCACGAACTTACCCTGATGGGTACGAACTGGCCCTGATGGGCATGAACTTGTCCTGATGGGCACGAACTTGCATGAACAGGCCCTTAATTGTTTTGTTTAGTTCAATGGAAGATGTCGAAGTAAGTTTTCTGATATTGTTTATAACACTTAATCACATACTGCTACATCAGTCATAAATCTATGTTAAAGTTATAACAAAGTGATGTGACACAGTGTTCTGTGAGAATGAACTACCCAACAAAAGTGACACCATACTTTTGGTGTAAAATACAGACAATGTGAAGAAACATACATGTAGTTTACGGCTACCTTAAAGGAGGACTATGCTCAGCCAAATTGGCAGTCATTGGCAAGTCTTGCAAATACAACTTTGACATGTTTATCAACAGTCAATGATTACCCAATTAGAAACATACAATGTCTCAGATTCACACATTCACAAGCCCGTGACCATCCGATTTAGAATTGGTCTTCAGTAACCCATGCCTGGGGTAAGAGGCGAAAAATGAGATTGAGTGGTCAGGTTTGCTGACTTAGTTGATGAATGTCATCATGTCCTACTTGCATAGATCATTGCTCATAACGTCAATCACTGAATTGTCTGGTCCAGACTTGATTACTTACAGACCGACGTCATATAGCTGGAATATTGCTGCGAGTTTTGTCAAACAAATCAAATTCACAAATCAAAACATCTAATCTTCAATAAAAAAAGGGCATCAAACAGTGGAATTCCTCTATTACATTTATCATGGTTATGAATTGGGACTAGAGGGTAAGTGCTCGTATCTGACAATCACTGACAAGCCATGTGCTAGCCAGTTGTGGATTTCTGCCCTAGCACACTGCAGAGAGTAAAGACATATAACGATGACTACTGATGTGAATTCCCTGGATTTGCCATGTAGGCATAGTCACTTAGTGTCATCCCAAACTGGTTGGCCAGATGGGAGTAGTATGCATACATGGAGGGCCATGGTTGGGGCGAGGTAGGGAAGTTGTTACTGCTGCTGCCAGGAGTAGATGGGTCAGTCCGAGTGGGGGGAGTGTCTGGGGGGTAGGGGGAGGGTTGCTCACACCCATCTGTGCTCTCCTGGGAGTACTGAGCCTGTCTGTCTGTTCTGTCTCGGTTCACTGTAGAATAGTGGGCTACTCTATCCCCTCTGTCTGCTGTTTCTGGGTAGTTGATCGAGTGGTCGATTTTCTCTGGATCAGACACAAACGGTGCATGGTGATTGCTGGCATCTGGGCAGGAATCTGTTGCATACTGAGCACCTCTGTCAACGTGTACACTGTGTGTGTAGCGGTTGTTATGGTTAATGGCAAATCTCGAATCCTGTGGGATAGGTAGATATGGATGTGCTGGACTGTCTGTTCGACCTATCTGCCCTTCCACAGATATTTCATGGTTTTGACTTTTCAGCGGCAAAGCTTCCTGGCTCTGTGGTCGACTTGGGGCATCCAGGTAGGCTGTCTGGGAATGATGCTGCTCTGTGTGTTGTGTTTCTAAGTAGGTGCTAGAACCATGTTTGTCTTGAGTAAAGTCCTGTTTCTGCAGCTGGATCAGTTCAGGTTTGAGAGAGGGGTACCAGGGAGATGAGGAAGACGAAGCTGGATGGATGTCTCTACGGCCTGACTGATCAATAGCCTGACCCTCCTGTAATCCAGGGTTCACCACACTAACATCAGCATATCCATCTGATTTGTACACACTGTACCCCGAGCTCGAAGGTCTTCCCACATCAGGAGAACCAGGGCCATCAACAAGTGGTAATTCTACGGCTTTAGCTGCTGCAGCTAGAACATCCATCTCAGCTGAAGCTGTTGAATCTTGATGATCAACCTTCTCCTCAACTTCAGATATTTTCTCAACATGGTAATTCAGAGCCCCTTGTACTTTGCATATTATATCCTCTCTCCATGTTTTGGCATCTTTGTGGATTTTATGAACCAAAATCATGTGACGACGAATGATTGATGCATCACTGAACGTCCTGGAACACAGCTTACATATAAATGGCTTATCTCCCTTGTGAACCCTCTCATGTCTCTGAAGAGCTTGCTTTTGTGTGAACTCACGACCACAGTCGCTACACACAAATTGTTTTTTTTGTTCATGAATTCTCATATGCATTTTTAATCCAGATCGTTGGCTGAATCCTTTACTACAAATTTCACAGATAAATTGCTTAGCACCAATATGAACATATTTATGATCTCGTAGCGCAGATTCATAACAAAATCCTTTACCACACACTTCACAAATGTGAGGCTTAGCACCAGTGTGAGCATTTGAATGCTCTTGGAGTGAATGTTTAGTTGTAAAGCTCTTGCCACATACTGAACACAGAAAGCTTTTCTTCTGACCCAAATGTTCGGATTTGACATGGCATGAGAGAATGTAATTACTACAGAATGACTTTGGACACATACCACACTGAAATGTCGGCCTGGAATATCCTTCCTCGTGAGTTTTCTTATGTTCCTGCATAGCTTTTCGGATTTTATACATTTTCCCACAAACATCACAACAGTGTTGTGGCTCCACATGAGATGCACGGTGACGCTTCATGTACCGACGATTAGGGAAGACTTTATGACATATATCACATTTAGTCGGGTTAGCAAGGTGAACTCTATGTCTGTGATCTCCAAGTGTGTTCCGAGTTTTGGCAACAAAATCACATTCAGGACATGGAAATTCCTCTGGATCTCCTTCTGGGAACTTTCGAGGTCGACCCCTTCCTCTACTCAAATTCTTTCCATCATCATGTATAGTTCGCTTCAATCTTGAATATTTTTTTCTGTGATTGAATTTTGATCTGAACTTGGTGAATATCCTTTGACTTGAAAGTCCAGGAGAATGCTTTCTGGGACGTCCTCGTTTCCTCTTGACAGATTGCTCAGTTGCCTCCATACTTTCCAAGTTCTTACTTTCATCATTTTCCGGTACAGATTCATCAAGTTTACAGTTATCGTTGTTGTGTGTCAATTGTTGTTTACGTTCTCTTCTTATGGTACTTGTGACAGTTGATTCCGACTTTGGTAAAGTGAGTGATTTTACTGGTTTCCTCTTTTTTGTACGTTTTCCAAACTTAGGTTTCATGATAATCTCACCCGTGCTAGATTCTCCTTTTACTTCCATCTTTTCATGACTTGATACAGGAATGTCTTTCTCACTTTGGGTCACTGGATTGAGTGTGTCCTGTTGTGAAAAGCTGTCTTCAGAGACGATACATGATGCAGATTTCAGAACTACACTTGCAGAGTTTGGAAAATCTTGTGTGGGTGATGGAGAAGTCGTATCCCTTGGGACCACTCTGGCTCCGTACACTGCCAATGCTGTGGCAAGCAGGCTATGAACCCTCTCCATAGCGACCCAAACGCCCTGTAGAGAGATGTGTTTACTGTCACCGCCATCCCGAATCTTCACACCAGCGTCCTCGCTGACTCTCCTCACCATTGCATGGTAATCAAAATCTGAGGGAAACTTCCCATGCAGTTCACTGTCAATATCTGCAACCACATTGGAGAATATTCTCGTCATTGTCCTTGCGTTTCATTGATTTGCTTCGTTCCTGGACAACTGTGTCAAATTACACTATCGGAAATCGTGGGCGTGTTTGATTGGCACTTGATTTTAGTCGGAGACCTTATTCCCACCGCCCATGTAATAATCTTGGGTCTCATGTTAAAATGTTGAATGTTTGTCCTCATCGTATCCGTTATTACCCTGTCTCCAGAACATATATTTGTTTTTCAGGACTGTCACACTACGTCGTCGAATGCTACATTTGCTTTTCGAGTGCGACCCGGACACATGTAAATAAATCTCTATTGCAGAAGAGTGTCTGATTATCTCCCTTTGAAGCTGTCGGTTCGTTTTATTTGGAAATACCGTATATTCGGGCAGTTTGCACCCTCAGTGTATGTTAACGGATATATGCGCTGTAAACTACATATTTGTAATAGCAAATGTCATCGACCAGGACAAGGAAAGTAATTTATCTGTTCACAATTCGTATTTCGTTTTGCAAAGGGCATTAATTTGCTATTATAAATATGTAGTTTACAGCGCATATACCCGTTAGCCATTAGCAATCAATGTGCCCTCTCACATCTGAAGGAATCTCCGTGAACTATCAGGTTAGGAAAATAGTGAGTGCGATTAACCAGTTACATCCTTCTAAAACTTATGACCAGTTCTAATCCCCACTGAAAAAACGGTCATAACTCACAGCTAGGCTGTACTGAAATTAATGACCCTCTCCTAATCCTTTTCATATTTTGGGATGAGTGAGTGAGTGACGTTTTACGCCGCTTTTAGCAATATTCCTGCAATAATACGGCGGGTGTCACCAGAAATGGGCTTCACACATTGTACCCATGTCGGGAATCGAACCCGCGTCTTCGGCGTGACGAGCGAACGCTTTAACCTTTAGGCAACCCGACCGCCCCTATTTTTGGATGATCCTCCCAATGTCCTTGTACTTTGTTTTCATGACCCTCCCTGTAAAGATAAAATGCAAAAGCACTTTATATTTTATTATGAAATGTCCACGTTTACTCATGTTATATTTTTTATTACCCTCCCCAGATTCCCCAGACTGACCAAGTCCCTTTTGACCAAAGTTGATGTTCTATGGTACAACAATTATGTTTGGTTACAGACATGCTCATAGTTCGATATTTTACTCATTACACGCATACTTAAGTTTGTCATCATGTTAGGGGTCAAACATTTGCAAATATATCATAAAATAGGCTATGTCAGCCCTTTTAACATGTCAGGATTTGTTTTTTCAATATTTCGTGGTTTCCTCAACTTCAACTTTCTACTGACAATTCGTTTCGCCTACCTCGTCCTTTCAAGGAAAAGAAGATATTTCTAAGTCAAAGGCGATGTTTGTAAAATTCTTTCTAGTCAATGGTCACGTTTTACAATCATTAGATTGTGTGTACATGTGTCCCTACTTAAGAAATAAACGACGAGTGGGAGGGGTTTTTTTATCGTACAATTAAACACTGCAGCCCTTCATGGTTTTATTGTACGATAAACAACGCCCACGAGTCGTTTATTTCTTATATGACATATCAACATTATGTACAGCCTCTTTAAGGATGGTGATAAAATGTACAAGTATTGAAAATATTTACTCGTATGTTTAAAATGATGACTCCTGACAAGCTTCTTCCCAGGGCGTGACACCTTCGTTACACTCTCGGTAACATCGCTGCCACCAGTGTGGGCGCGGCTATTACAAGAATCTTGAAATTTGCCCTCTAACCCCAAATGTAGTAATGTTTATACTTTTCTTTTGCGATTTATCGCGTAGCTATCTTATATATTAACATAAGACCCATGAAGATCCGTGGTAGAATAGGTCCGCATCAACCAGAAGACTAACGGGATCGGATGGTAATGCTCGCTGACCTGGTTGATGCATGTCATCGTATCCCAATTGTGTGGATCGATGCTGATGATGTCAATCATTTGATTGTCTGGTCCAGGCTCGAATTTTTAGAGACCGCCGTCATAAAGCTGGAATATTGCTGAGTGCGACGTTAAACAGCAAACAAACAAATATTAACATAAAGACACCACCAGTGAATTAATGGACCAATGTTCCACGGAAACAACAAGATAGGGAATGGAAAATGGGCCTTCCCCTGACTAGTACTCTGTCTACTGAACTATCAAAACTATTTGACTCTTCTTATCTATGAATATGAAAAGCGTTTTGTTGATTTTATTTAAGCAAACAGAGTGAGTGAGTGAGTGAGTTTGGTTTTACGCAATATTCCAGCAATATCACGGCGGGGGACACCAGAAATGGGCTTCACACAATGTACACATGTCGGGAATCGAACCCGGGTCTTCGGCGTGACGAGCGAACGCTTTAACCACTAGGCTACCCGACCGCCCCTTAAGCAAACAGAGCTGTCTTGTTTCGTTCAAACCGATATTCTTTGTAATATGCCGTAGTGGTACATGACACACGGGTTTCGGTAGACTTACGCTTAGTCTCTGAAAATATATTATTTTGAGAGAAACGAACATTTAATTAAGAATTTAATATTCTTTGCGTCATGGAGGTATTATAAACGCAAAAAAACGGTGTGCAAACTTTGTAAATCCGCGTACCGGTTTTGACGTTTATAACTCCATAAACACAAATATATATTAAAGTAAATTCTTATGAATAAATACGTCAACAATAATAACTTCACAGACTGCTTATTTAATGATTATCACTAAAAGAACTGTAGACAACAGTACGACATCAGTGACAACGTTCAGCGCAATAGTGCCACACTGGCCCCGCCCATTCTGTTATCAGCCATTCAGGAAACAGTAATTCGTTAGTGGGTGTGGCCTAATTGTTTTCGGTTAATGGAAACATAAACGCAAATTAGTTGATTAGTCAATTAAATGCAACGGATTCGCTTGCAATTTATTTATTTTGAAAAGGAGACCCAGCAAGATGGGAGATTCAGCCTGAACCTATGGAAAATCTAGACTTGCTTCATAAGGAGGTGTAGTAGTACGGTTAGGGCTGGGCGGAATATGGTTCAGGGACAGTCTATGGTTTCGAGACAGTGTCTCGTGTGGTGTGTGGAGACAGTTTCAGTTCTATCATGGCGTGTCCGCTTATGTATACACAACAGGAAAGTCCAAAATGGAGCCGGTCGATGACGTCTACTACTTTTAGTGGAACACATGAGTTCAGGGACGGTGTTGACAGACCATGCAAGGGTCATAATCGGTGTGAATCTGGGACTCGATCAGCGGATCCTGGTATGACTTAAGAAAGAAGCCCAACGCAAATTGCGATGCCTCGAACCACTAGGCCATCTGTAACCTCTAAGTTTCAATGTACACTGACGTACTGGAGGTATATGGACTGAGAGGTCTCACCTCATTTGTCAGATACCTTAAAATGGTGCCACGGTTGAGTTCTAAAATCTAATATCACTATCAAATTAAAATTGTGTTACCCATGTGGTAAAATGGATTAGTCCCGCTCAAACCCTTTCGTGAGAAAACTCACAAGAATAGAAGACTTATAATAATTGTCACTGACTAAAACATGCTGTTCTCTTGTTTTTATGAAAAGAATATAAGATATATTAAATCATACAAACACATTTTTTTCATGTTGATTCTGCTTCTCACTTTGGATGTTATTAATTCAAAGTTCATTTTGCTTTGAACACATATTTGTATTTATTTTATATAAAACAAAACACTTTAGAAATCTGTACATTATAAAATGTATAAGGTGTTCACATTGGTGTGCAGGGTGCACGGGTTGCCCAATCGTCTAAGGCGCCGCAATTCGCTGTTGCGTCCCTTAGCACGCCAGAAACCTATGATTGTGGGTTCGAATCCCGGTTCGCCCCAATTATGTTTCTAGATTTGTCAGCACCATACCCGTGCCCGTGGGTTTAACCAAAGTGGTAAAGGTCTGAGACCTGCTTTCCTCCCACATTAAGCTGACACGCCGTGATATAACTGGAATAATGTTAAAAGCGGCGTTAAACCCAACTCACTCACTCACTCACTCACTCACTCACTCACTCACTCACACACTCACTCACTCACTCCGGTGTGCCCGTGGTTACAATCAAGCTCTGTATTACCAAACATATCATAACCAGCTTGTATCTTACTGCAGAACTATTTCTGAGGTTAATTTTAACAAATTAAGATATATGAGGTAATGACATTTGATGTTGATTTCCGGAGGGTTAAAAGGAGAGATAGATTATTTATAAATTTATTGGTAGTTTTGTTTGTTTGTTTGTTGTTTAACGCCGCATTCAGCAATATTCCAGCTAAATGAGGGCGGTCTGTAAAAAAATCGAGTCTGGACCAGAGCGTCCTGTGATTGATATCATGTGCATCGATCCACGCAGTTGGGATACAATAACATGCACCAACCAAGTCAGCGAGCCTGACCACCTGATCCCGTTAGTCGCCTCTTACGACATGCATAGTCGCCATTTTCGGCAAGCATGAGTTGCTGAAGACCTATTCTACCCCGGATCTTCACGGGTCTATTGGCAGTGATTGTGAAAGAGTTTTTTTGGTGATGACAGTAGAGATATTAAAAACGTGATGGAAGTCCTCGGGCTATTGCAGAAGCTACAGCTACCATTAGGGTGTGTTTTTCTTATTTTAAGGAGTTTATATTTGTACCCCCGCTTTGAATTCTGGTGATTATTTTGAGGTCGAGGTAGAGAAATTGTGGCACTGTTATTGGGTTTTTATATAGTGATTTTATCCATAGGGATTTGCAATTTTGAAATAAATGTCTATCTTTTTGTTTTGATGTTCTTTTTAATTAATGTTTTGAATTCGGTCTTGCTAGGATGAAATTCGATTTAAGGTGAGGGGTTTGTGTTGCTAGTTTGGCATCCAGGCCTTCAGAGTAATTACTAGGGATGTGTGTATTGGCGGTACCCATAGTATAGGTATTGTTTTATCAACTGATTTTAGTATTGAGTTAAGGTGGATTTCTGAGTGTGTGTTGTTTTTTAATTTGTTGGATAGAATCTAAAGAATCTTAACAATGCGGGGACACACGTGATTTAAACTCTTCGCTTGATGTAAGGCAGTGGACATGGCCAAAACGTCTGCGGTATTAGTATGTGTATATGTTTATAATGGAATTTAGTGGTAATTGATTTTGGTAGGGTAACCTGGAGACCTAGCCCTGTTGTTTTGTTTGTGGTAGTTGATGCATCTGTATATACACTCTTCAAAAAGGGAAACGCACAGGTGGATTTTTAGTAAATTTATTATACCTAATATAGTCGATATATTTAATTTATTATCATACACTCTTTAAACAATCCCCTCTTTGCGTCCTAAGGCGATGTACCGATCGGCAGCGCTGAGACTCGGCATTTTCGAACTTGAAAAATGTTGACAATTGAATGACAAATTATTGGCTTATGCTTGCCTTTTTATAGCCACTACCGAGAGTTACGAATGCCATAACTTGCACGTGCATTTTGCTTTACTGTTTTCCTCCATGACATTTTTTAATAAGTGTGAAAACAATGCCGTTTTAAGACATTGCAAATCGACAATGGCTGCGTTTTGACGTACCGTTTGTCGAATATCAGGCTACCAACATTTTCCAATAATATATATCAACTTTATATACCGGATTTTTTGTATAGTCAGGTTCAGTGAACTACATACTACCTGTGCGTTTCCATTTTTGAAGAGTGTACATACCACATGTGCGTTTCTTTTTTTCGAAGAGTGTACATACTAACTGTGCGTTTCCATTTTTGAAGAGTGTACATACTACATGTGCGTTTCTTTTTTTGAAGAGTGTATGTGGGTATGATTGAGGTAGTTTTGTTGGATGTAGTTGAGTGTGATGGTTGATCATTCTGTTGGTGTTGGGTGTGTTTTGAAGGTAGTGTGGAGGGTTGTGTCTGTTTCAGGCCAGGAACACGTCCTTTTCCTGCTTCTCGAGGTGGTCGACGTCTGTGCAGATGGTTACGTGTATAGAGAAAACAAGAGGAAGGCAGGAGAATGGATCTCATGGAATTATGTCACTGAAGACAACAACAATCAAGGGTGACACAGACTTTCTAAGGAGAAAATTGACATTTTTTATTACCTTATCAAGGGCATGTTAAGTTGGCCTGAACAATTGGTATTGTTACCAATGATTCTGTACTGAAAATATGTCAGATTATTTTAATGATTTATTTTTTTATGTACTGTACATTTAACACTAACATGAATTACAAAATATTCTCGTTTGCTGTATTGCCAACCCCGGTTGTATGAAATAAACTTTGCTTTCACCTGTTTCATTTTTCTACCACTTCGCTATTTTGAACGTGTAGTGCTTGTAAAAGATTTTAAGATTACGAAATTAAATACATTGATCAGAAGCAAGAGATTAGCTGTGCACAAGATCCTTGTGTTGTTTTAAGCTGGAGAAGGTTTAACGCCACTTTTATTTGTTTGTTTATTGTTCAAGGCCGTACTCATCAATATTCCAGCTATATGACGGTGGTCTGTAAATAACGGAGTCTGGACCAGACAATCCAGTGACTGACAACATGATCATCGATCTACGCAACGGCGTGTCAGCTTAATGTGGGAGGAAAGCCCGGAGTGATGCAGGTCTTTGACGTTTACCACTTCGGTGAAACCCACGAGCATGGGTATGGTGCAGACAAATCTTGGAACATAATCGGGGCGAACCGGGATTCAACCCCACAATCATTGGTTTCTTGCGGGCCCAAGGGACGCAACTCTGCAGAGTGAATTGCGGCGCCTTAGACGACTGGGTCACCATAGAATACCCCTAAAACCTTAATGATAGTCAGTCACCTCCCCTTGGCACCAGAATCTACGTCAGTGTCGGAAGACATGCTTTCCCCAAAATCAAAAGAATTAAAGGGTTAGTTGTATATTAAGGGGAAACCTGTTAAAATGTTGATTCCAAATCTCTTTGAAAAAGTATGTATTATATTATAGAAATCTGCAGTTTTAATGGAATCCGCAGAGAATGAAATTAATCAAAATTCACAGAGCCATAAGTTTTGATCAAACCGTTTATGGATGCGGAAACGTACTAAATATGAGACAGAAAAGTCCTTTTTAAGCTACTGAATAACAGTTGTTTCGGTAGAAGCATGCTAAACAAAAGACAACACGTTAATGTAGAATTGGTCACAAAATTCACAAAAACGTTCCAGAAACTCTGGGTCAAGCCTGCTAATTACAGTAATTAGGCTTTCAAAATTTCCACTGATAGGTGTAAGAATGGACATAGCAAGGGGCAAATTGGCTCACCTGATGAAGGAGTAAGAATATACTCCGAAACGTTGTGTTTCTCATAATAAAGTTGAAAAAGTTGACATCCATATATTGTCTCCCTTATGTGAATCACTTCTAAATGCCTTTCAGACACTGTTTATTTTTGTTATATGATTATACTACATTTCTATTGTTTCAATAAATGTATTAAACTAAGATATGTTTTATATTATCCATTCATTATTTATAGATTGGGGGTATTCTAAACTGATTAGCATGGTTTCATTTCACGTTTTCCTGCATCACACTGGTACACATGAGCTGATAAGAAATACACACTGAAATAGGGAAACAACAAATGTGAATGAGAATATGACTTTCTTATTTCCTCGTCCCTAAAGTTTAACATTAATAATTGAAGTACATGTAATAATTGAAGTACATGTGGGGTGTTTCACGACAGCAACAATTGTTATTGTTCAATATCTGAATCTTTAGCACTTCGGCTGTCTTCAGCTTGATCCAAATCATCAGCTTCTGAGAGATCCACATGAGACAATATATACGTGGCCAAAAACGCCTACTATGATATCATCGTAACACAAGATATACAAAATATTGTAAAGTTAGTTTTGAGCAAATTGAGTTTACAATTCATTGCAATATGACATCAGAGGATTCAGACAACTAATCAAACCATTACCTCGCTAGTGAATCAGGGTGCTGTTGAACTAAACAACCTTGGCCCGACGATGATCGTAAGCCTTCATTAAAGTATGAGAGTTAAGATCACCTCAGCGCTAAGATCCCGTTGAACAACGACACGCACCTAGGTCAAACCGTATTCAAACTCCGAGGAACGGTCCATTTTTGAAAATTTAAGTTTAAACACAAGAAAAAACAAAAGAGATGAATGTAGGAGACTTTACATTTTCGCAGTTTTAAAGTTTGTTGCATTTAACAGAGAAGATGTGAAAGTTTTCAAGCGCTTGGAATATTGCTGCCATTTTGAAAATACACCATGGGTTACCTCCTTTGCCATGTGACTACAAGGTGTACGGTACAAAGGTGCCAATTAAGAATTACGTCCCTTTAAAAAAGTAATCTGAGTGCAGCATTGAAGTTTGCGTACGCATTGAATTCTGGTGTTGCGTCTTGACCTGTTTGATGTCTCAAGCCAACATATGAAAAGACTTATTTAACATGTTTAAGATACTTATTTTTTTCTTATAAACCTTTTCCCACAATCAAAGATGTTGAATAATGATTGAGTAACAACTAAACAAGTTGATGAAAAATGTCTTGATGATGGATCTGCATACACTCTGAATTGCCCATCTTCTTAAAGCTAATAATGATGTGTATACACAAATGTACATGCAGGGAATCATATCTGGACTCCCCGATATATGAAGTTTTCTTGAGCAGATGGAATACACACAGAGAGGGAATTTGTTTATTAGGGTCTCACCCATCACAATCATGATATAAAGTACAGCGGTACAAGACATACACAATGTAAAAGCCTCACGCACACACGCAGCACAAAAACAGCAATCTCTTGTAGTCAAAAGCCCATTCATGGATTAAAGGAATAACTGATAATATGTTGGTTGATCATTTATCAGATGTAATGTATACATTAAACAGTTATTCTCACACTCATAACACCAATGATATTTAATCCACTTAATTCAATCAATTTACAGTGGAAACCTCTTACCTCAAACCTAGCAGAGCATGTTGAAGTGAATGAGTGAGTGAGTAAGGTTTTACGCCGCTTTTAGCAATGTTCCAGCAATATCACGGCGGGGACACCAGAAATAGTCTTCACTTATTGTGCTCATGTCGGGAATCGAACCAGGGTCTTCCGCGTGATGAGTGAACGCTTTAACCACTAGGCTACCCGACCGCCCCCAGAACATGTTGTAACTTTCAGGTATCAAGGAATGAACATCCAGACAGATCAAGTAAAAATATTATAGATACGTAGCATACGACTGCATACACAAGAAATTATGTGTATGTGAAAATTGAAACATATTTCACCAGCAATGATTAATGATAATTGTGACAAATTATGTACTGTGTACATGTACCTTATTAGGCATAGTTTGTCAAAAACAAAGAAGTGCCACTCTCACACCAAGCTTGTTAATTCACAGCATGGATATTGTGTGTAGTGTCACACGGCTTTGATTCCTTTAATCCGACTTTGATCAGGATTTTTTTACATAACCTGGAAGTGCCGACATGTTTTCACTCATGTTTACTCATGTCTACTAACGATATTTTATTTGACAATAAAGATTATAATTGGATTAAAAGATAAGTACATCACTGGTCGAGCATCTGGAATAAATTGCCCTGTACTTTTACTGTGGTGATGTTAGATGCGGGGAGTAAGGTACTAGATACTTGCGCATCTCAAAACTGTTAATGTGTACGAGATAACGAGGTATGACTGTATTCCACTGTGAATCTTCATGTGTGACTTCAGGCTACCTGTAAATCCTTTCCCACATTCACCACACTGATAAAGCTTGATTCCACTGTGAATCCTCATGTGTTTCATCAGGTTATTTGATTGTGTAAACCCTTTCCCACATTCAATGCACTGACAAGGCTGATTCCACTGTGAATCCTCATGTGTGTCTCCAGGTCACGTGAACGTCTAAATCCTTTCCCACATTCACCACACTGAAAAAGCTTGATTCCACTGTGAATTCTCATATGCGACTGCAGGCAATCTGACCGTGTAAATTCTTTCCCACATTCACCACACTGATAACGCTTGAGTTCACTATGAATCCGCATGTGTTTCGTCAGGTGACTTGAGCGTTTAAATCGTTTCCCACATTCAACACACTGATAAGGCTTGACTCCACTGTGAATCCTCATGTGTGACTTTAGGTTACTTGAGTGTGTAAATTCTTTCCCACATTCAACACACTTATAAGACTTGACTTCACTGTGAATCTTCATGTGTGACTTCAGGTTACTCGAACGTTGGAATCCTTTTCCACATTTATCACACTGATAAGACTTGACTCCACTGTGAATCCTCATGTGTTCCTGCAGCTTACTTGAGTCTGTAAATCCTTTCCCACATTCAACACACTGATAAGGCTTGACTCCACTGTGAATCCTCAGATGTTTCTGCAGGTTACATGATTGTGTAAATCCTTTCCCACATTCAACACACTGATAAGGTTTCACTCCACTGTGAATCCTCATATGTTTCTGAAGGTTACATGATTGTGTAAATACTTTCCCACAATCAGCACACTGATGAGGCTTGACTCCACTGTGAACACTCATGTGTGACTTCAGGCTATTTGACTGTGTAAATCCTTTCCCACATTCAGTACACTGATAAGGCTTGACTCCACTGTGAATCCTCAGATGTTTCTGCAGGTTACATGATTGTGTAAATCCTTTCCCACATTCAACACACTGATAAGGCTTGATTCCACTGTGAATTCTCATGTGTTTCTGCAGATTACTTGAGTGTGTAAATCTCTTACCACATTCAACACACTGATGAGGCTGGACTCCACTGTGACTTACTATGTGTGACTTCAGGCTATCTGAGTGTACAAATCCTTTCCCACATTCACCACACTGATAAGGCTTGATTCCACTGTGACTTATCATGTGTGACTTCAGGCTATCTGAGTGTACAAATCCTTTTCCACATTCACCACATTGATAAGGCTTGATTCCACTGTGACTCATCATGTGTGACTTGAGGCTTTCTGTGTGTAGAAATCCTTTCCCACATTCACCACACTGATAAGGCTTGATTCCACTGTGAGTGTTCATGTGAGACTTCAGGTAACCTGACCGTGTAAATCCTTTCCCACATTCAACACACTGATAAGGCTTAATCCCACTGTGAATACTCATGTGTTTCTGCAGGTTACAAGAGTGTGTAAATCCTTTCCCACATTCACCGCACTGATGAGATTTGACTCCGCTGTGAATCTTCATGTGTGTCTGAAGATCACCTGATCGAGTAAATGTTTTCTCGCACACCCTACACTGATTAGACTGATTTGCTGGACCACCACCATCTCTGTGTTTCTTGAGATCACCTGTTTCCAGCAATTCTCTCTCACAGTCAGTGTTTCCACCTGTGTCAGTGACAGGTTCTTTCTTGGGATCACCTGTTTCCACCAATTCTCTTTCACAGTCAGTGATTACACATGTTTCAGTAACAGGTTCTTTACTGAGATCACCTGTTTCCATCAATTCTCTCTCGTAGTCCATGACTACACATGTTTCAGAAACAGGTTCTTTCTTGAGACCACCTGTTTCCAACAATTCCCTCTCACAGTCTGTGGCTACACATATTTCAGAAACAGGTTCTTTCTTGGGATCACCTGTTTCCACCAATTCTCTCTCACAGCCAGTGGTTACAGTGTCAGTGACAGGTTCTTTCTTGAGATCACCTGTTTCCAGCAATTCTCTTTCACAGTCAGTGATTACACTTGTTTCAGTAACAGGTTCTTTCCTGAGATCACCTGTTTCCATCAATTCTCTCTCGTAGTCCATGACTACACATGTTTCAGAAACAGGTTCTTTCTTGAGACCACCTGTTTCCAACAATTCCCTCTCACAGTCTGTGGCTACACATATTTCAGAAACAGGTTCTTTCTTGGGATCACCTGTTTCCACCAATTCTCTCTCACAGTCAGTGGTTACAGTGTCAGTGACAGGTTCTTTCTTGAGATCACCTGTTTCCACCAATTCTCTCTCACAGTCAGTTTTTCCACCTGTTTCAGAAACAGGTTCTTTCTTCAGATCACCTGTTTCCACCAATTCCCTCTCACAGTCCATGACTACACATGTTTCAGAAACAGGTACTTTCTTCAGATCACCTGTTTCCAACAATTCTCTCTCACAGTCAGTGTTTCCACCTGTTTCAGTATCAGGCTCTTTCTTGATCTCACCTGTTTCCAGCAATTCTCTCTTGCAGTCCATGATAACACATGTGTCAGTGACAGGATTCTGTGGTTGGCTTTGTACTTCCATTATTACCTTGTGGATTTTATGGTGTTCACTGGAAACATAAAGGTGTTTTCACTTCCTTCATCATGTTAATGCATTTCCTTAAGATGTTTCCACAAGAACAATGCCATTTAGAACTAGGGCTGGGACCATACAAAGTTTGATTATATGATATGTATCATGATAAAATACCTAATACTGTATAATGTTTTCCGAACATTCAACACACTGATTATATCATAGCACAGTGATTTTCCATATTCCATAATATTTTTCACTAACCTCACACTGAAGTGTCTTTAGCATGTTCAGTTGATTAAATGCCATGCCATGTTACTACTGCAAGGTGAAAACAACATTTTTCTTTCACTTTGGTTTCAAAGCACAGGAAATGAATGAAATTGAACTCAAATTCACATGCAAACAATATGAGATGCAGTAAGTTTAACGTGATTTATTCACATGCAACAAAATTCTAACACCATGAGGTGTGGTGAAATTGGGTTTAACGTCACGTCCAAGATGATTGCACTTATATAGCGACATGCATGCACATGTTTGTGTGGCTGCTTGTACTAGTCCGGACTGATGCCGATTTTCAGTGCTAGCTCACTGAGATACCATGCCACAGTTTAACATGAACAGCCCACTCAGAGTCTCAGACACAGTATACTGACTCCAAGCCAACCAGTCCTTGTTTTAGCCCCATAATGCCGAGCGCCAGACAGGGTAACAACAAGTACCATCTTTTAACGACTTTTGGTATGACGCGGCCGGGGATTGAACACCAGACCTTCCGCTCTCCGAGCGGACGCTCTACCACAAGACCACGGAGGTTCTTTCTCTAACATCATGATGATACAAATTCAGTTCTGTCATTGCTAAGTAGAGATCTATGTATTGTATAACAAAAGTGGTGTGCATGATCACGTGGCATGTGCTATTTAGACGAGGTCAATATCTGCTACAGTCAGTTGATGCCTCTCGTTGCATTATAAATAACAGAAATCAGTTCAAACCTTTTTCCCTGGACAGATATAAGAGCATTTGCTTATTGTTTATCAAAAGTGGAAGCTATTGGCACTGTCAACGTTATACACAGACTATTTCAGAATAACACAAAAAATTTCATGTTTCAAGCTTTTTATAAATTAGACTTAAACAATTACAAGAACATCATATCATCTGAAGAATTACATAATCAGTACGCGTGATGCTTGTATCACATGACGCCCGATTTACAAGTCATCGAAAATAGGTTTGTTGAATAGATTTGCTGTCGATGAAAATGTTTCAACGAATTTGATTGAATCTTTGTGTACTTACTCTTGGGTATCATTGCATTAGTATAATCTTGTTAACTATTAAGAATTAATTAGAGATGTAAGACATGTCAGTTTGAGGATTGTTTGGTCTTTTTAGCCATCTTTCACTTTTTGTCCTTTGAAAATGTCTGATGTCAATTATGCCCAAGTGGTTCTTATCACTAATGAAAGAGCACAGACACTGATATTTATATGAATGTACCAGGCTTTAATCAGGATACATAAACAAAACTGTCATTCGTATTGCAACATCATCTTTGAAACAGTCTGCGCATGAACTAAACAAGACCACTTCCGTCAATTTTGTCATGACATCTAAACATTGACAATTTTATCGGGATTTTTTTATCGGTACATTAAACAAGTCTTTGAAAGGAATTTAGAAGTGATACACATAAGGAAGAGAACTTATGGATGTCAACTTCTTTATTATGAGGAACACATTTCAGGGTATATACTTACTCCTTTATCAGGTGAATAAAAATATATACTCTGAAACATTGTGTTCCTCATAATAAAGAAGTTGACATCCATAAATTCTTTTACTTAAATTGAACAATTCTCAAAGAATGTATACTTTTACATGAATGCCATATCTCTATCATCTTTAGGATATATTCTTTTCAATGATATGAATTATTAGCCATCTACATTTTTAACATGGCTGCTTACTTGACTTGACACATGCGGGTGCTTCCATATTAAAATTAATGGAGAAAAGATAACTTAGAATCTCAGCACATTTACCGATGGGAAGGCAGTTCATACACCTTTTGGGTCACTGAATTTACATACTGTTGGAAAGACAATCACCTCAAGTTGAATGTTCTACGATTTGGTTAAACTGTGGGCAGAAATAAAAACGTTGCAACCGCGACGTAATCACTTAATGGTATGCAAAGCCAGCTGACGGCCAGGCACCATGGGGGTAAGAGGCAGCGGTAAGAAACTAACATTTTTACTCCACTAGTCCTCATAATGAAAATATAGCAAAACCATCAAAAGTGGCAAATGTCTACTCCTCCTCATGATTCCTTAGATAATGGGCTGTTTGGAAGGACTTTCAGGACCAGTGACATTTTCTAACGCTGACAGGTTAAATAATGTTTTCCTTCACTTATAGTGAAGGAAAACATTATTTAACGTGTCAGCGTAACAATGGGCGTTATTATCCCGACGTATACATTGCAACAATATTTATGAAAATGCCAAGAAAGTTTCTAACCACCGGCTCTGGCGTCTTTCTTCAGTAATTACATCCACAACTTATTGAGTTCATGTTTTTTGACAGGAGGCCGCCATTGTAAGCTGGTTCCCGGCACCCTATGCGCGTCGTCCACTTGCGCTATGAGAGACGGGGCCCAGCTTATCGCCTCAGTCATTTTGTCAATTTAGCGCAAGCGCATCCTACCCAAGACAACCAGACTGGTAGACTGGTTCCCGGTTTCAGTCTGCCCCGAGTTCCCCACAGCGATAGCCCGTTCGCGGAGCTCAATCGCTGCCACCCGTCAAAGCTCGATCCCCACTGTGATAGGTGGCTACAACCATGTAACCAGAAACATTAAGCTGAAACTGCAATAATCTAGACTTGCCCACTATTATAGACTTTCATGGGTTATATTGGATATATTTGTTTCAGGGTCTGTATTATAGACTAGTTGCCAGTTTCAGTTTATGCTAAGCTTGGCTGATGAGTCAATCCAATCAGCCAACACTTCACGGGACCACGGGCGCTATGACAAATAATTGGTGAGTGAGTGAGTATGGTTTTACGCCGCTTTTAGCAATATTCCAGCAATATCACGGCGGGGGACACCAGAAATGGGCTTCACACATTGTACCCATGTCGGGAATCGAACCCGGGTCTTCGGCGTGACGAGCGAACGCTTCGGGTAACCACTAGGCTACCCGACCGCCCCAAAATAATTGGTGCTGGTATAGCAAGGGTTAACCCAAACACAACTAGCCTAACCCTGAAGCTTTTGTTTGTTGTTTTAGCGCCACACTCGGCAATATTCCTGCAATATGACGGAAATCTGTAAATAATCGAATCTGGAACAGACAATCTAGTGACTGACATCCTGAGAATCGACATGCATCAACCACGTCAGCGAGCCTGACCGCCCGATCCCATTAGTCGCCTTTTACGACAAGCATAGTCGTCTCCTACGGCAAGCATGGGTTGCTGAAGACCGGATCTTCGATGGTCTAACTCTAAACCTAAAGCTAAGGATCGAAGAGGCACGCCAGATATGTGAAGCGCGAGACACAGCCGGCGGTCTGAGTGAGTAAGTATGGTTTTGCGCCGCTTTTAGCAATATCACGGCGAGGTACACCAGAAGTGGGTCTTCGGCGTGACGAGCGAACGCTTTAACCACTAGGCTACCCGACCGCCTCGCCGGCAGCCTGAGCAAAATAGCGCTATATACGAGAGTGACAAGCCCCCTCCCCCTTAATCCCGAATACCATATATTTAAGTCTCATTGCCCATTTGCTCACCACTGAATCCTGAATACTACTTACGACAAATCTCAAAAGCACATGAGGGAATTCATTCAACAAAGGCAGAATATCCATACTCGACAACACTGGTTTTCTTGAGTTTAAGGATATTCATTTGGCAGCGTGAAAACAAAGCTTCTCTGCTCCTGTGTTCTTTGTGAGTCTCTAAAGTTCAGGCGAAAGGTTGCATCTAAGAACACGATGTAATGCCATGAAATCAATCCTGGGTTGGTTGCGAAGTCTTCACATAGAAGGAATTGTGTAACGGTGAAATCTTTTGGTGTGGATATTGCATGATGTGATAGAGGTATAGCACATAAAAGCTTGAGTCTAACAGTTTCGCCGGTAAAAGTCCTTAAAATAAGCAGGGGTCTGTGACCTTTGGAAAGTGAGCAAACTTGCTTAACGTTCAGTGATCAGGTATTTGCAGATTAGTGTTTGGGCTTCAAAAACCTATCAGTCAATCCTCGTATATAGCGACAATCCACTTTTCCATAACTAGAGATATGATAATGATGCGTATCTGTTCTGTTTGGATGTTAATGGGTGGACACACACACACACACACACACACACACACAACACACACACACACACACACACACAAACACCCTACACATACACACACCGTCTGAGTTTGGGCAGATCCGTGTCATACCTTTATTACATCAACAAGATTCAAATGATTTATTTCCAAATTTGTAAAAGAAACTTCTCACTCTAACCTACAGTACAATAAAATGAAGCTATCGTATATCAGTATTAAAAACGTACAGAAACTGTTAATAGAAAATACATGTAGTACATATTAGGGATTTTAAACAACTTAAATGGGTGACGCACACATATTCTGACTTATTAAACCACGTAAGGAACTATGCTTTTCCCACAATTTATTTAGTGAAATTCCAACTATGCCAAAGCTGTTGTATTTTATATCCAGCATATATATTTATATTCTGCCGTCCGTCGTTACTGGAGTACATAATCGAGACATGACCAGCTGTAAGCAACGATTCACACCGTCAGGGTACTATGGCAACCAATTTACCAAATCTAACCACCCCACCCACAGTAGCAAAAGATACTTTCGAATGCCATATATATTTTTTTATAAAAGTAGTAGAGAAAATTTAATTCCAAAATGTTACCATGTGCAACCATCTGTCCCAAAATTTACCAGTCTTCTATCTACCAGAAATGATTGTATTATTAAAAACCTGTCCATATATTTAAAAAGACATCTACCTATGTAAATACAAATGTCAAAAAAGATGATCGTTTGTTTTAAGAAAATTTGTGCATGTGCATAGTATATATTATTCCTGTAAATGAACTCTGGGCCATGTGGACTTCATTCATGAATAAACTTCTTCAACTTCAACTTCTTCTTCTTCTTCTTCTTCTTCTTCTTCTTCTTCTTCTAAATATTACAATGACAATACTATATTGTTTGTATAATAGAATTTATACTTATATCAGAAAGGTTAATACTTTGACAACAGGATTAAGCGGACGCTGCCATAACGCCTACACTGTACTGTAACAATCGGATAATGTTATGGCTCTTGTTTGTATGTTGTTTAACGCCGCACTCAGCAATATTCCAGCTATATGTTATGGTTCTCGTGTTCCTGATACCATACGGAAACAAGGAACAAGGTCTCTTGCCTAATAGACAAAACGTTTAATGGTTCAGTGTGACACAAATAGCGATATAACTAGCACAAAACTCACTCCAAACCACACAGTCCTGGGTGCCGTTGTACAAAGCGATCTTTGCGCTAAGAAAATCTTAACTCCCATACCTTAACACTGAAGTAACAAGTAAGGTTGTTTTGTCCAACGGCACCCAGAAGTGTTAAATTAGTATTGTCAAAGAAAACCATCCAATGGTATCAAAAAGTATAGATATATGTGCCAGCGTGAACGAACCATATATTCCTAGGTTTGGTTCACAGTGGCATTCAAAACAAAAACGTGATTGATAATACACCTAGTCAAGAAGATCCGTTTATTCTGATGTGTCGGTTTGTTGTATTGATTGTTGTTTCAATAACGTGTGTGTGTGTCTGTGTGTGTGTATGTGTGTGTGAGTGTATGTTTGTGTGCGTGCGTGCGGTGTGTGTGTTTGCGCGCGCGCGTTTTGAATGGTATTATTTAGGGATAGATCTCTTTTTGAATTTTAGTTGAAATCACTATTACAAAACAAGAGCCATACTGATTAATAAATTTATGATATAGCTTACGGGTGTAAATAATCTCCTTTCTAAAAAAATCACAATGAGTTGTGTACCATACATAAAAGGTAATCAGTTTGCTGTCAGACATTTGTCCAAATACGTTTGAAAGTTACTTCATTTCAGCAGTTCAGGTTAACAGATAAGTTAAAAGATAACAAGACTGATATCCCCAAAAGCATATGTATATATATATATATATTGCAGAAACATTCGCGGCCATGCGTGGCTGTAAAGCGACAATAAATAACTGTATGCAAGTGATTAACTGGGATGTCCCTCAAGATAAACCCTCAATGAACAATACTATAGGTGAGGCGAGGTGAGGTGAAATGGGGCTTAACGTCGCGTCCAAGATTATTGAACTTATATAGCGACGTGCATGCAAGTGTGTGTGTGGCTGCTTGTACTAGTCCGGACTGATGCCGATTTATAGTGCTAGCTCACTGAGATACCATGCCGCAGTTTAACATGAATACCCCACTCAGACACAGTATACTGACTCCGGGCCGACCAGTCCTTCTTTTAGCCCCTTAATGCCGAGCGCCAGACAGGGTAACAACAAGTACCATCTTTTAACGTCTTTTGGTATGATGCGGTCGGGGATCGAACCCCGGTCCTTCCGCTCTCCGGGCGGATGCTCTACCACTAGACCACGGAGGCGGTCAGTAGGCATCAGAAACCGTCCTTTATGTGATCTCGGTATAGAACATGAATATCAGTTTGTTACTTGTTTGTGCTACTTTTTATACCATCTACCAAAGACATGTATCACTAATGTAAATATTCATACATTTACAAAAATAATTTCCACAAACGATGAGAAAGTACATGTATTTGTTAAACAATGTTTAAATGTATGTACATTGCCACTACCATACTTGTAAATCGTTATTTGTCTATGGAACTATGGCTTTCATACTGAACTGATTGGTTGGTTGGTTGTTGGTTATCCATCGATTGACTGCTTCTAAAACAAAACTATTATCAATAGTTGAATAACCTTCTCGAAACTGCGACGGCCTTTAAATAATCGAGTCTGGACCAGACAATCCAGTGATTGACATCATGAGATTCGATCTAAGCTATCGGGATACAATGATATGCATCAACAATTAAGAATGCCTGACCACCTGATCCCGTTAGGCGCCTCTTACGACAAGCATAGTAGGCTTGCCCTCATTCGCCTGGAAAATTTATGTACAGAATGAATTATTTTTATGTTTTCCTGTACGGATGTTTCAACATACCATACAAATGTAATGAATCTATTCAAAAATTGATATCAAATTCAAATTTATATCCCAATTTCGGGGTGAACTTGTTTGTAAGTAAAAGCGACAAAACCCTTTCCATATTCATCAGAAATGCTGCCGAAACACACTCGATTGTACGATTCCGACTATATCATGAGCATTTCTTTATGAATCACTATCAAATAGTGACGATCGTGATGATACCTTGTCTTTGTGTTCAAATGGTGATGATACCAGGTCTTCGTATTCAAATAGTGATGATACCAGGTCTCCGTGTTCAAATAGTGATGATACCAGGTCTCCGTGTTCAAATAGTGATGATACCACGCCTCCGTGTTCAAATAGTGATGATACCAGGTCTTTGTGTTCAAATGGTGATGATACCAGGTCTTCGTATTCAAATAGTGATGATACCAGGTCTTCGTGTTCAAATAGTGATGATACCAGGTCTTCGTGTTCAATTAGTGATGATACCACGTCTCCGTGTTCAAATAGTGATGATACCAGGTCTTTGTGTTCAAATAGTGATGATACCAGGTCTCCGTGTTCAAATAGTGATGATACCAGGTCTCCGGGTTCAAAAAGTGATGATACCAGGTCTTCATGTTCAAATAGTGATGATACCACGTCTCCGTGTTCAAATAGTGATGATACCAGGTCTTCGTGTTCAAATAGTGATGATACCACGTCTCCGTGTTCAAATAATGATGATACCAGGTCTTTGTGTTCAAATAGTGATGATACCAGGTCTCCGTGTTCAAATAGTGATGATACCAGGTCTCCGTGTTCAAATAGTGATGATACCAGGTCTTCGTGTTCAAATAGTGATGATACCAGGTCTTTGTGTTCAAATAGTGATGATACTAGGTCTCCGTGATCAAATAGGGATGATACCAGGTCTTCGTGTTCAAATAATGATGATACCAGGTCTCCGTGTTCAAATAGTGATGATACCAGGTCTCCATGTTCAAATAGTGATGATACCAGGTCTTCGTTTTCAAATAGTGATAATACCAGGTCTTTGTGTTCAAATAGTGTTGATACCAGGTCTTTGTGTTCAAATAGGGATGATACCAGGTCTTCGTGTTCAAATAATGATGATACCAGGTCTTTGTGTTCAAATAGGGATGATACCAGGTCTTCGTGTTCAAATAATGATGATACCAGGTCTTCCTGTTCAAATAGTGATAATACCAGGTCTTCGTGTTCAAATAGTGTTGATACCAGGTCTTTGTGTTCAAATAGGGATGATACCAGGTCTTCGTGTTCAAATAATGATGATACCAGGTCTCCGTGTTCAAATAGTGATGATACCAGGTCTTCGTGTTCAAATAATGATGATACCAGGTCTTTGTGTTCAAATAGGGATGATATCAGGTCTCCGTGTTCAAATAATGATGATACCAGGTCTTCGTGTTCAAATAATGATGATACCAGGTCTTCGTGTTCAAATAGTGATAATACCAGGTCTTCATGTTCAAATAGTGTTGATACCAGGTCTTTGTGTTCAAATAGGGATGATACCAGGTCTTCGTGTTCAAATAATGATGATACCAGGTCTCCATGTTCAAATAGGGATGATACCAGGTCTTCGTGTTCAAATAATGATGATACCAGGTCTTCGTGTTCAAATAGTGATAATACCAGGTCTTCGTGTTCAAATAGTGTTGATACCAGGTCTTTGTGTTCAAATAGGGATGATACCAGGTCTTCATGTTCAAATAATGATGATACCAGGTCTCCGTGTTCAAATAGTGATGATACCAGGTCTTCGTGTTCAAATAATGATGATACCAGGTCTTCGTGTTCAAATAGTGATAATACCAGGTCTTCGTGTTCAAATAGTGTTGATACCAGGTCTTTGTGTTCAAATAGGGATGATACCAGGTCTTCGTGTTCAAATAATGATGATACCAGGTCTCCGTGTTCAAATAGTGATGATACCAGGTCTTCCAGTTCAAATAATGATGATACCAGGTCTTCGTGTTCAAATAGTGATAATACCAGGTCTTCATGTTCAAATAGTGATGATACCAGTTATAACTACTTAATAATCTCCTAGTAAAGAGTTTCAAAGTTCTGCAGTACTGTGTAGGAAATACTTTACATAAGATGATGCCCTTGCTTTAATAGGTTGCAATTCTAAATCACTTCTTAATTCATAAGGGTTACACAATATTACAGAAAGAGGTAGAAGATTTATCGTAGATCAACTTCTGTACTCGTCTCCAGTTGTATTTTCTAAGCCACCCCTTTTACATTGTGTATACAGGTCCTTGGTTCTACACAGTGACCTTGTCATTGCCAACTTTGTTGTTCTTAATCAGGTAATGAGGTATGACTTATCTTTAGTTTTTCTGAACAAATTTAAATGATGACACCTTTCATGTATTTTGCACAGACATTCATCATGTTCATCATCATACCCGAGCATTTGTCTATAGTTATCACCCATCTCCATCCTCTCTTCAACATAGAAGCGGCTGGTGAAAAAAGGATAATTTAATAATGTGACTGCACCAGACACGTCTGGAACAGAACACTGTGTTGCATTCTCTATTAAGTGTTGTTGACGAGGAGTGAGTCAGTCTGGTTTCAGGCTGCTTTTAGCAATATTCCAGCAATATCACGGCGGGGGACACCAGAAATGGGCTTCACACATTGTACCCATGTGGGGAATCGAACCCGGACCAAAGTTTCTTTTTGAGCCAGCATGAATATCATAAAATACTCAGCAAGTCTATTCTCATAATTCCCTCAACTCCCGCTGAAGGCTCTGATTTTGGCTAGGGTACGTGTCTGTATACTGAAACATACCTAGGGTTCATATCTGTAGTGCCCTTGCTCAGTTCCAACCCCCCCATACGGTTGATACTACATTAAATATTCTTCACGAACACTGTAAATCATGAAATTTGTCACCAAATTAATACGATAGTAGTCTGTGTAGTCGACTGCATTACATAATACCACCATTGCTCCCCACAGAAATAATCTTAGTGGGGTTCTATAGCAGAACCTGCTTTGATGGTAACAAAATTGTACATACATCGTGGCACCAGGGGAGACAACTTTCAGCTGGGACCTGCCAGGCTCATTTTCCAACCACTAGGTGGACATGGTGGATTGTGTACTCACCTTATCGACCACTGGCTTTGTCTAGTCCAGATTAGATTGTCTTACAGGCCCACCAGATTTGGCAACAATATTTTTGACAGGGATACTTCAACTTGGACTTGGAGGGAAGAGAGAGATAACATGACACAAATAATAAATTATATTACATAATTATTTATTTACATGTTGTCAGAAACGACACTTGGTAATGAACAGAATGATATGCTCACAACTCAGAATAGCAGATTAATAAATTATGCACGGATGCACGCATGCACGCATGCACGCATGCACACACCATCCCCATCCATACTCACTCACACATACATACATACTCACACACATACAATGCACTCATACGTACATACAAACCATCCCCATACACATTCACACACACATTAAATGCACCTGGAAGCTCTGTCTGTTTTCACTCATGTTTATTCATAATAAATTTATTTGTCAATAAAAAAAATACCTTTATTATTGGATCAAAAGATAAGTTTTTGGTTTATTTGTTTTTGTTTAATGCCACACTAAGCAATATTCCAGCTATATGATGATGGTCTGTAAATAATCGAATCTGGACCAGACAATCCAGTGATTGATATCATGAGTATCAATCCATGAAATTGGAATACAATGACATGCATCAGCCAAGTCAGCAAGTCTGACCACCCGATCCCATTAGTTCCTTATACAGTGATGTCAGATGCATGGAGAAAAGTAACAGATATACTCACACATCTCAAAACTGTCAATGTGGCAAAGATTAACTTCGAGATAAAGGTACAAAATTTTATTGTCAAGTCAAGTTGGGACCCATTCCAAGGTTCAAGATAGCACAATGTATTCTTATCTCAAATTTGAGATAAGCGGGCAAATTTATATGTATCTATATAATGAGTACGATGAGGTGGTCTGGACCGGAGATATCGGAACATTTGACATAACGGAGTTCGAGATAATGAGGTTTGACTGTATTCCACTGTGGGTCGTCATGTGATACTTGAGGCCACTTGATTGTGAAAATCTTTTCCCACATTCAACACACTGATACGGCTTAACTCCACTGTGAATCCTCATGTGTGACTGCAGGCAATCTGATCTTGTAAATCCTTTCCCACATTCACCACACTGATACGGTTTGACTCCACTGTGAATTCTCTTGTGCGTTGACAGGTTACTTGCATGGGTAAATCCTTTCCCACATTCAACACACTGATAAGGCTTGGTTCCACTGTGAGTCTTCATGTGTGTCTGCAGGTGATCTAAGCATGTAAATCCTATTCCACATTCAACACACTGATTAGGCTCGATTCCACTGTGAAACCTCATGTGTGACTGCAGGCAATCTGACCGTGTAAATCCTTTCCCACATTCACCACACTTAAAACGCTGGACTCCACTGTGAATCCTCATGTGTGTCGTCAGGTTACTTGAGACTGTAAATCTTTTCCCACATTCAACACACTGGAAAGGCTTGATTCCACTGTGAATCCTCATGTGTGTCTGCAAGTGATCTGAACGTGTAAATTCTTTCCCACATTCACCACACTTACAAGGCTTGACTCCACTGTGACTTATCATGTGTGACTTTAGGTTACTTGAGTGTATAAATGCTTTCCCACATTCAACACACTGGTAAGGTTTGACTCCACTGTGAATCTTCATGTGTGCCTGCAGGCCACTTGACTGTTTAAATCCTTTATCACATTCAACACATTGATAAGACTTGACTCCACTGTGAATCCTCTTGTGTGTCTGCAGGTCACCAGACTGTGTAAATCTTTTTCCACATTCAACACACTGATAAGGCTTGATTCCACTGTGAATCCTCATGTGTTTCTGCAGGTCGCCAGACCGTTTAAATCCTTTTCCACATTCAACACACTTATATGGCTTGACTCCACTGTGAGTCCTCATGTGTGACTTCAGGTTCCTTGATTGTGTAAATCCTTTCCCACATTCAACACACTGATAAGGCTTGACACTGCTCTGAATCGTCATGTGTGTCTGAACATCACCTGATTGTGTAAATCCTTTCTCACATTCAACACACTGATATGGCTTGACTCCACTGTGAATCCTCACGTCTGTATGCAGAGTACCTGATAGTGTAATTGTTTTCTGACACACACTACACTTATGCGACTCCTTTACTTGAGAACCACCATCTTTGTGTTTCTTGATATCAACTGTTTCAACCAATTCTCTCTCACAGTCAGTGTTCCCACCTGTGTCAGTGACAGGTTCTTTCTTGAGATCACCTGTGTCAGTGACAGAGTGCTTCTTGGGATCACCTGTTTCCAGCAATTCTCTCTCTCCATTCGAAATTAGATATGTGTCAGTGACAGGTTCTTTCTTGGTATCTCCTGTTTCCACCAATTCTCTCTCACAGTCCGTGATTAAATATGTGTCAGTGACAGATTCTTTTTTGAAATCACCTGTTTCCAGCAGTACTCCCTTACAGTCCATGATTAGATATGTTTCTGTAACAGGTTCTTTCTTGAGATCACCTGTATCCAGCAATTCTCTCACCGCTCACAGTCAGTGCTTACACGTCTCAGTGATAGGATATTTCTTGAGGGTATTGATTTCCAGCAAATCTCTTCTCACAGTCAGTGATTACATGTTTCAGTAATATAGCCAGGATTCTGTCGTTGGCTTTGTACTTCCATTATTACCTTGTGGATGTTATGGTGTTCACTGAAAACATAAAGGAGTTGTCACTTTCTTCATCATGTTGTTGCATTTCCTAAAGATGTTTCAAGAACGACATTTTAGTCCCCAAACACATCATTGAAATTAATCTATTATGTCTTACTTGTATGAATAAATTCATAATGTAAGAATAAACCAATGCAAAATAAATGGATGTTTATATGAATATAATATAGAATCTAGAGGCCAAATAGAACCAATGACCCATCATTAACACAAGGAGCACCTTGAGAATTCATCACCACAACGTCTTTTGAGGACATAATCGATATATTTCAATCATGTGTTTTTGATCTATGTAAAACTTTTTCTTTGTAAGAATGTCGGGGCTAAATAGTATTTACAATACGGAGAAAATTAGTCACTATCAGCGATATTTGCGACGTCAAATTTGATGCTAAAATAAAGATGCTAACGACATTTCATTAAAGTGGTCGTTCAATTCCATGTTTACTTAATACGATTTCGTGACAATAGAGAGCTGCAAGAAATATTAACGCACATATCGCTGTTTGAAATGGGGTGTGTGTCACTGTTTACATTTCGCCTATGCGACGACCACAGGTGACAGGACCCTGGCGACGACGATTTTCGTGTCGCGAAACATAATGTTTTCCTTCACTAAAAGTAATAATGGGCGTTATTATCGTGACGTAAACATACAGTATTCATTAAAATGCAAAGAAAATTCTCTCACCATTCGTCCTAGTGTCTCTCTACAGTAAAAGATAAAAACAGATGAGAAAGTATCCATCATTACATCGTGAAGGCCGCCATTGTTGTTGGACAAGCTCCTTACAGCGATATCCCGTTCGCGGAGCTCCCCATATCGAGAGTGTAACGAATGTGTCACCCGCTGAATGAATGAATGATGTTTATTCTCGTAAATCACGGCAGTGATACAGAGATGTAATTGGACACAGGAATGGGATACAATGAAGAAAACATGTCAGTGGAACATTTCCATACATGATCTTATATAACTTGCCAGTTTTAATAGAGTTGGCTTATAAGTAATGGACATCAAATGAGAGAATTTTACGGCAGAAGGATACATACAGTAGTATTGAGGCAAAAACTTGTTTCTAATTTCTGAGAGTTTGGGACATTCTAATAAAAAGTGCATTTCAACACACATAAAATTTTTACACAATGTACATTTTCTTTCCTCTCTCACAATATTATACCATCTTCCTGTTTCAATGGGTAATCTATGATTTGCTGTTCTAAAACGAGCAAGAGAGATGCGTAAGGTGATTGGTAGTTCTAGTAAATAAGGTTCTAGAGATGGTAACTCTTTAAACATGTTATAATAGTAACCTTTAGATGAATTTTCCTTTGATTCTCGCCATCTTTGCAGAAAATTATCAATGAGAACATGTTTCACATTTTGTTTCAACCATGCGGCGCTGGGTTGGAGCATGGACCCTAAATAAGTGTCCATGGTTGGAGTCATTTCCAAGCTCCTTCCACCAACACTATCGCTGTGAGTAGGCTTGGAGTCATTTCGTCCGCGCAGCTCAGCCTACCCAGATAACCAGACTGGGACTGGTTCCCGGATCCTCTGCTGCTCTAGACTGGTTCCCGGATCCCCCGCTTGGGTTATCAACAAAACGAAATGCAGTTTTGTCTTGGAAATAATCAGGAAATGTAGACCTGTGTCCTTGGGGGTACCTTCGGTAATGATGGCAAAGTTTTAATAAGTCACTTTCTCTGAATTCTGCGATTTTTGTTTACACTATCTGTATTTGTAACACAAACTTAATATTTCACCTGAGCCTAGCTTATTTTATCGTGTGTATATGTTAGAGTCAATATGTAAAATGATTAAATTTTCACTTAGTCAATTTATTAAACGCCTAAACATTGAGTTATTTTACAAATTGACAGAAACATCTGTCCGTTTATTTTATGATAACGAATTACAAACATTTCGATGTTTATTTTCATCACCCAGTGACTGAAAATGATAGGATCAAGAGAAAACGAAGGTCAAAGTACATTTCTATATTTTGTACTTCTGAACCTAGCATAATTAGTCTATTGCGAGGTTTTTACCCATTTTGAATGTCTTAATACGTTTTAATTAATCTGTTAAATAAATGGACAGATTTTTCAGTCAATTTGTTAAATGAAATATTCACACATTTAATAAATTGCCTGAGAGAATCATCACATTTTACACATTTTATTGACTGTGCCATATACACGCTTACAAACGAAAAGTCTCGCATCGAAGAACGGAGACAGGAGATCGACCTTTGTGGTTACAGTATAAACTGCAAATGTGATGTTGTAAGGGATTAAAACACTGACCTAGTCGAAAAGTGCAGGTGTGTTCCGAAGAAATGATTCGAACAGAGATTACATTATTTGAGTTTGAGCTCACGCACGACCATCTGTGCAATGAAACCTGTCTGATGTCACGTGTCTTTTGTAGTGAGTGAGTTTTAACAGTATTCCTGTTATATCACGGCATGTCCGCTTAATGTGGGATTAAAGCCCGAAGTGATGCAGGTCTTTGACGTTTACCACTTCGGTGAAACCCACGAGTACGGGTATGGTGCTGACAAAGCTAGAAACATAATCGGGGGGAACCGGGATTCGAACCCACAATCAACGATTCGCGGCGCCTTAGACGACTGGGCCACTCTTGTCTTTTGTAACAGTCTTATATTTTAAAATACATATACACGTGTATAGCGTTTCTGGACATTCTAACTCGTGTTCGTTTCTTACTGATCACGTAATTTTGTTTCAGGTGTTTGACATAGGTGTCAAATCTCGTTGGTCAGCTGAGAAAGCACACGTGGCAATTATTTTCCTGATGTCCACGGTCCAAAATCCAATGAGTCAGATAACAATCACTAACGTATTATCGTCTTAACCTTTTGAACGAAGCATGTTGTGTTTACATAGGCACTTCACGCCCAGCTATTGATGTACGTATTCCGTCAGCTTTCGTAAACCTACACATGTAAACACTTGCTTGTGAAATATCACTTTGCAAAATAACAGTGATTAATCAGTCAACCTGTTTTCGGTTAATCCTTTGATGGATTATTTTTGGTAACGCAACTGATAATTCCTGCGCTGCGCTACAAATTACATAACATACACTTCAACCCACTTCAAACCTGAATTCAGTTTGAACAATTCCCCCAGACACTAGAATGCCAAATGGGAACCTTTGTCAGGTAATCGGAGTGATGCTACCGCTAATTATAACGGTAATAAATTCATTATCTGAGCATCAAGTGAATGACGACTTATACACAAGTGTTGGGTTATGCCATGAAACAGTTGACAAGAAAGGAGTAGCTATCGTATTATTCACGCAATCTGAAATACGAAAATGTTTTCATTGCAGGGATAAATTTCTATTAAACTATAAACCACCAGGGGTATTTCCAAATAACGACATCCGATGACCTTCCACCGTTCATTTTATCTGTGTGTTAAGGTTGAAGAAATTAATTAACATGCGCCCTTTATAATATCGAAATCTTCATAGATCGCGGGTAACCAAGTGTTCAGAAGTGCGTATAGATAGATGAATCAAGTAATCCAGTCTGACCACCCGACCCCGTTAGTCGCCTCTTACCACAAACAAGGGACCGGTGAAGATTCGGAGTAGAATAGGTTTTCAGCAACCCATGCTGGCCGTAAAAGGCGACTAGGTTAGTCGTAAGAGGCGACTAACGGGATCGGGTAGTCAGGCTCGCTGACTTTGTTGATGCATGTCAACGTATGCCAATTGCGTGGATCGATGCACATGATGTCAGTCACTGGACTGTCTGCTCCAGATTCGATTATTTACAGAAGACCGTCATACAGCTGGAATATTGCTGAGTGCAGTGTTAAACAACAAACAAACATAACAAGCATGGGTTGCTGAAGACGGGACTAAGGATCGAAGATGCGCGCGAGATCTGATAAGCGCGAGACACTGCCCGGCAGCCTGAGCCAATCAGCGCCATAATGAATGAATTAATTAATTTCTTTATTTCCTCCAGAATTTTCATCCGAAGATTTACAATATTTCCCAGAGCAAATGCATGATGCTAATATTTACATAAATAGGTATATATATATGGAATCAAGTCACAAAAACGCCACTGCTACAGAAAAGCATGCATTCCATGCAAAAGTTGACTTTTATGCAAGTCCCATGCATTTCACTACCCAAGTATGGGTATAAAAACATGTGCGTTAACGGGATTCCATATGCATTTCTTAGCATCGTGCTGACAACAACCACTCAGAAGAACAACATAATTATGCAATTATTCAACATTACGAAATGTCACGCCTGTCCGAAAATGAGCGTCTGCGAGCCATTGGTATGCTTGAAGCAGGATCGAGTCAACGTGATGTTGGAAGACAATTTAATGTCCACAGAAACACCATTCGGTGTTTATGGCAACGTTGGCAACAGACGAATGCAGTCAGAGACCATCCTCGGAGTGGCAGGCCACGCGTAACCAATAATCGACAAGACAACTGGATTCGAACAACACACCTACGAAATCGATTCCAGCCAGCAACAGTGACTGCAAGAAGCTCCCCTGGCCTTCGACGAATATCTTCACAAACCTTACGTCGTCGCCTCAGATGTGCAAGGATTGTCGCCAGAAGACCCGCCAGACGTCCCATTTTGACAGGAAACCACCGTCAAGCACGTCTACAGTGGTGCCGACAGCATCTACGATGGACGGCCATGCAGTGGGGACAAGTTCTATTCACTGACGAGTCTCGTTTTCACCCCAGCCACAGCGATGGACGGCTTCGTGTGTACCAACGTCGATATGAACGTTACATCAATCATTGTGTCATGGAAGAAGATCGGTTCGGGGGCGGCAGCGTTATGGTATGGGGTGGGATTACAGCAAGACAGAGGACCCGTTTGATATTGGTAGAGGGAAATCTCAATGGACGGCCCTTTTGTTCTACCGTTTTTGCGTCGTCATGGCCCAGGCATTACCTTTCAACGCCCGGCCTCATCCTCATATTGTTCAGGATTCTCTTCAACAAAACAACGTGAATGTCATCCCCTGGCCGGCTCGCACCCCTGATCTCTCACCAATCGAGCACATGTGGGATGAGATGGATCGGCGCCTTCGACGTCAACCACGTGTTCCACAGACACTCCAGGAACTTCGAAACATGCTCCAGCAGATATGGACAGATATCCCACAGGACTTTGTGCGACGCCTGGTCCATTACATGAGACGAAGATGTGTTGCTTGCATCGCAACCAGAGGTGGACCCACACGCTATTGATTTGTAAATTGACATTTTGGCATGTTCATGGGTTTTTTTTATGAAATCAAGCATTTTCTGAAGTCAGTATGGCAAATTAAACCATTTGAACACTTACAGGAGTCTTTTATCTGTTGCAAACCAAAATTGTTTCAGATTTGGTAAAAAAACATAACTTTGCATTAAATCTTATTCAATGTCACAGGAACTTTTGTTGTTCAGTCTATATTCATCATCAGCTATGTATACACAAGTGCGAGCTATTGCTCTGACGACGACTAGTTTTAGAGCGTCCGCCCGGAGAGCGGAAGGCCCGGGGTTTGATCTAAAAGACGTTACAAAATGAAAAAAAATGTCACCTGGTACACGGATGCAAGCACTTCAACATTGAAATTTGTTTTTCATCATTTGGGGGGACAGAGAGTGACAGATCAATACAATATTTAACTCCAAGCTTATGAGCACGCATGGTGATGCATTTATGTGTTAATAATAATGGAGTAACAAGTTGCTAAAACATGTCTTGATGATGGCCCAGCATACACTCTGAATTGCACATCTTCTTAAAGCTAATAATTTCTA